CATAAAAGCAAGCGGAAGTCTTTCTATACTTTGTCTCAAACCATCTAATACAACTTTTAGAATAAAACTCTTGGGACACAACCCGTACAATAGTCTCAACATGAAAATAAAAGACAAAAAGGAAATAATGGGTTTGTCCTCGAAAGTATGAGGACTCACCAAATGTTCAACTCATCTTGCTCCTTAGAAACCTAGCCTCCAAAGGACCTCAATCTCCGAAACCCTACATTTGATTAAAATGTAGCCAAAGTATGTGTTGGTACAAAATGTACCAAGTATGACAGCTAGCACAACATCATAAGAGAATCTCAAAATGGTTAGTCAACAAGAGACATAAATATAAGAGATAATGACATAGTCATAGCATAATCTCCAACGTAAGGATCATATAATCATAAGTCAACATAAGACATAGTTAATGAGCAAAGGAGATAAGTCATAATCATAATAAGCATAATTGACCCTTAGTCATCTATACCATAATAGAACCATTCTCAAGTAACCGCAAAAGCATACAAGTGCAAAGAATGAATAGCATCCCATAATACCACCCAAGAAAAGTATCCCATTTGGGTCATCTTAATCATAGTCTATACACATGGTCAAGTCTTTAAGCCTCTATATCATAAGAGCAACATACTTTTAAGTAACCTCAAAGCACACTTGTGCAATGCATGAAAGGCATCCGATACTACCCTTCACACTAAGCATAACATTGAAGTCATCCTAGTCATACTTCTTTGGTATCACTATTGGCTTACTACATATAGACAAGGGAACTATCACCTTTAGTCAATCGTATCTTGGAAGGCAACAATAGCAACAATCCATCAAACATACACCATAAGCATAAAAAGGAACACACCATAGATACCTTCAAAGCATACTTGTGCAATGCATAAGTAAGATCTCATACTCTTACTCATCTAAGTAAAGCCTCTTAAGTACCCATAGTTCATAACTACTATTCTTGCTCATACTACTACACTATTTGGGACATAAGCCTTAACCGACATAGACCATGTGAGCTAACATGGAATCCGGTGTCTACCCCACACCGTAAAGGGGTCGTTCTACTTGTCGAGGGTAGAACTCTATTCTTAGATTGGTAGAAACCAATTGCTAGGTAACCTATGTGGGAACATAGTTATGGGATAAGGAGATTGCTTCTAGAAATTTGCCCTCTACTAACGGAGGAGCTTCCATCTCATGAGACTTCTTCTAGAAACCCGCCTTCTACTAACGGAGGGGTTTCCATCTCATATTCATACACACTCGGTGCTAGGCATTAAGTCCCATTGACTTCACATTAAGTATTGACTTATGTTCATATTGGTGGAAGAATGTCTTGACACTCAATCCAACATAACTCATACTATAGGTCATTAGATCATGCGTGAGCAACTATCACCATCCATGAACTATTTATGATGGCTCTAGAGCTTTTGATTCAATTAGGTGAGACTAGTCTTCAAACCTTAGAATCACTATAGGTGACAAACCTTTCACCTCCTATCATATTCATGCCTAAGTGTGTATATGGAATTAACCTTTTAACAACACTACAACTAGGTCATGAGCATATTCACTTTACACTCAAAGTGTCTCTAAAGCATGTACTAAACTTCATGCAACATGAACACTATCATGTCTTGGCCCTTTCTAAGGTCAAAACTCATATTAAATCAACACATCTAGAATGACTACATTAGACATGGATTTAAGCATGATTCAAGTAGTTTAATTACTACAATGCTAATCTCACACTTCACCTCTTTGAGGTTCAATTCTTACTTTCAATCATCCCACCTAGGGTTCAAGCTCTAGACATGGATGTCCTCCTAACCCATGTGATTCTATCACTTTATGCATCCAAACCTTCGTGAGGTAAATTAGGTGGTATGATCTTATCATAAACATTCTATCTAATAGTCTACCATTATCTCATAAGATTCACTCTTGGAGCCTTAACATACATAATTCATCATATTGGATTTGCCCTCAAAACCCTAGAGTCATTATTAAGTGAGAACCCCTTTCATGTTAAGTTCATACTCATGCCTAATATCATGTCTAGAATTCTACATTAGATAAGGATATCATCATGACTCAAGTGATTCCATCACTTACTACCATCTATTATTCATAAGGTGAATTAGGTAGATAAGGATCTTTCATCACACTTCTATTCATTATCCTTCCATTCACATGTAGACTCTACTTTCAAAGCCTTGGTATCTATAGTTAGTCATATTAGCTTTACTCTCAAGCCCTAGTGATCAACATTCATAATAATAAGCCCTACACTCAAGCTTTACTTCCTACTATCTTCACCCATACCTAGATTTCAAAGTGTTTCAATCACATTCTTCATTACTAGGTGATTCTAGAGGAAATTCATTATAAAGGTTCAACTTTAGATTTACTAGTCAAGATCCATCATTTGAACTATAGTCTAATTTGATTCATGTCTATATGATCCTAACCTTGAACAATTACTACACATGACATTGATTTAGAAAGATCAAATTCAATTTCTTCAATTTCACCTCTTATGGTATAAACTCACAAAATAGCAAATTCATCAAATAAATTAGGGTTAACCATATAAATCACACAAATTCATAAATACATCATGATCCAATACTAAAACAATCAAAATTGAGTATTATCCAACCAATTGGAATCAAACTCAAACACTACCCACACTTTGGAAGAAACCCTAGCTTAGATTGGGGTTTTTCTTCAAAATTGGGGGAAAATTTAGGGGGCTCTATGGGTGGAAGATACCGTAGATGAAGAAACTAACATACCTTATTGAAGATGCACCACGAATTTGAGGAGAAAAGGTATCCCTTTGAACCCTAGACTTCACCTTTGATCTTGTTCTTCTATGGAGTTCTATTGAGAGAATTATTTGAGAGGGAGTTGGGGTCTTTAGATGAATGAATTAACAACTTAGTTTTAGGGGCCTATTTAGCTTATATAGGTGGTTTAATAACTAACTAACCTACCTCCCTTAACCCCTATGTAATTATTAATTAACCCTCTAACCCCTAACTTAAAAACTAACCTTGAAAATTGCTCCCACTCACGAACCACCCACCCACGGATCATGGGTGGGTCCACACTCCGTACTGCACCTTCGTAGGTATTGTACTGTGTCTTAGAGGTTCAGGCCAACTCAGGCCTTGACCCACGGGGCGTGGGTCCACTCACCGCTAGTAGATGGTAAGCGTGAGTTGCTGAAATTTGACAACTTTTAGGGCTGTTTTGAGGTCCTTCTCAAGGACCCCTTGGGTGGTCCTTGGGGGGTCGTACCTTGATGCCTTAACCCTTAAATCTTCATTCTAAGTACGGGAGCCATTTCTATGAGTTTTCATCCTCCTACCACTAAAATCTTACGAAAGGCTCTAGAACTCTCTAGTTCAACTTACTAGTTTCCGGGGCGTAATAACTTGGAAAACTGAGAAGGACATGTGAGACAAGTACCCCTAGTTATTTGACTATTCAGCTACTACTCTACTCTTGCTTTAGCCCTTTTTTCCTAGTTTGTCAATCGGGGACGAGTGATGGGTAAATTGGTATCTATTGTAACGACCGGTTACCATCATTATGGAAAAGCCAATGGGGAAGGAATTTCAGCCAGAAAACTTTTGAGAAGTAACTTGGAAATTTCTAGCCTAGGCCAGACTTGGACGAAATCTAAGTCAGGTGAGGTCTAGAGAAATATGGTGATCAATGAGGGATCTAATCATGAATTTGATGACATGAGTAGGTAGCCAACACGTTAAGGAGCATGTACGGCTTAAAGGAATCGAATTCGGGCGAGTAGAACTCCCGAAACTGATCTTGGCGTGAAAGGATAGTTTTAGAACATCCCGGTTTGAAGGTCTGTTATGAAATGGGAGTTTGGAACTCATATTTTGAGTTTTTGTATTCATGCAAGCCGCCGGGGCGGGATTAATCCCACCATAACGGCGCTGCTGTGGCAGGTTGGGGTCCGCCGTGGCGGGACAGTCGCGAACTTAAGTCGGGAAAAACCTCAATTTCATTATTTTCTGTAAAACTTCGTTCTTAAGAACTAAGGGACAGCCCTGGGTGATTCTTGACAGTTTTCCACAATTTCTAGCTCTAAAGGTAAGTTAATTACTCCCCTAATCCGTATTTCAATTCCTAGAACATAGAATCTTGGGTAATTATCGTTGGGGGAGGGTTTTGGCCTGAAGTGGATGGTGGGAAAAGCCCTAGTTTAACCTTAGGATCATGGGTTTGGTCTTGGGTTGATAAATTTGTTATAATCCGGGTAAATTAGACCTTGTTTATTGATCCTTGTGTTAATTACTTTTTTATAGACCAAGAACAAGCTGAAAGACTTCGAAAAGGGAAGGCTCATGTGTCTTAGGAGTATTTAGGCTTGGTTTTTAGGTAGGTGATGGTTTGATTTCCTATTGTGTGATATATGCTTGTTAATTGCTTCATTGTATGCATGCATGTGAATAGGAAATGTGAATCAATCTAATAAAGTGATTAGGTGGGAATAATTACATGCATTGAACCTATTACTTGATTGTATGAGTATGAGCATTGTTCATGATGGGTGTGATTGTGATTGTGGTTGTGCTAGTTGGATCGGATGTCACGTTCCGATACATATATTGGATTGGGTTTCACGTTCTGACACATATATTGGACAGGGTGTCACGTTCTGACACATGTATATTGGATCGGGTGTCACGTTCCGACACACTAACAGTTTGGGTGTGGGTTCCATGAGAGGACCACTTGTGATGATTGCATTCACATCTAATTGTTATTGAAATTGGGAAATTGTATATTGCTCCTAAAATGATAAATGAATTATGCATTATGTATATGTGTGTTTACTGTGTTGTAATTGCTTGTGTATATTGTGCATACATGAGTAGCCGCGTGATCCTAACAGTACACTGTGGTTTCGTGTACTGATACTGCGCTTGCTCTTTTTTTGTTGAGTACAGGACATCTTCAGGTGGCTACTAACAGACCTCAGTTAGGAGATTGTTGATCGCGACCAGATTCAAAGGTGAGCCAGTTCTTTCAGGCTACCATGGATCCTTCCTTTGTTTAGTCCATTCTCTTCGGACTCGGTCTATACGTTTTGAATTGTTATGTTTAGTTTCCGGGGTTGCACCCCCTTTTCTTACACTTGTTGGTTAATAGAGTTTTGGTTGACTTTCAGTTCTAGGGGTTTAATTTTCCTCAATAGTTGTTTGTTAGACCTTCAGAGTTTATGGGAACTCCGTATTGAGTTAGTCATTTAAACCTGCTTTCGTATTTTTAAATGTTTAGTCGGTTGTAGTAATGGTTCTCCCACCGGAGGGTTAGTGTGGGTGCCAATCACGGCGGTCTGGGTCGTGACACATAAGATAAAAAAGTTTACTTCACTGATGAGCCAACTCAAACTCTATGCAAAACAAAGAAAGTTATGGAACAAGTTCCTCATTCTTCTTTTTTTTGTTCAAACACAACATTTCACAAAGAGCTTCTTTCGGATAAACAAAGAATATATAGCATTTTAAATAGACCATAGTGATCAATTATAGAAAAACAACTTACACATAAAAAAACATTATTTACTAACTTGAATCCACTCTTTTAAAACAATATATCAAGAAACCTAATACATCACGTAAATAGTTGAATCGGTCGCTATCAAGAAGTGAATCTTATATAACTTTAATAAGAAATTGTTAGTAAAAAAGCTGCTTGTTATAAGATCAAAAGATAGCACTTGACATGACATATAACTATTATGTGATCTATACAAGATTGAAACAAAGGAATGACATCTTTTGATTGAAAGTTAAGAAGTCAAAGTTTATAACTACTCAAAGTGTATCTATTTTAGTATAAATAAAGGGCTGGTGATTATTTTTTTAAAAAGACTGCCAACATACATGAATAGATTTAACAAACTAACAATATGACATCTTTTGCAAAATAACAATAAATTTAATAATGATAGTAATACAACATATAATAAACTATGTCGATCATGTATTTTAACAAAAAAAAAAGTTAAAGATGAATATAATATCTAATATGCTCTTTAAGTTTTCCAAATCATTAGACGCATAAAGAAAATAATTTGGAAGAAATTAGTTGGGACAAAATTGGGTGTCAACAAGATCTATTGTTGATTTGTATATATTGCTGATGTTGTCATTTTCCACTTTATTTCTCTTGTTGGTTATTGTTTCTACCTGATATGCCTGTTTCTTGTTATTCTAGGATATGAATTGGCTTACCTACTGGTGGGTTATGGTAGGTACCATCATGACTCGAGTTTTCAGATTTAGACATTGTTATTGATCAAGGATGCATGTATATATTGTCATATACAAAATAGTTCGTCAATAGTGCCACCTTTTAAAATAAGAAACGATAAATAAATAATGTAACATGATATTAGAAAAGAATAAAATATAAACAAAACATAATTCATGTATAGTACTATACTTTTTTAACAAAATTAAATTACATTTTTTATAACTTTTTCTTGATGGGTTTTATTTTTTTAAATGTATTCAAAATAACCTCATTAAAAATAATATCAAATATTTTTTTATACATATAAAACAACTTTTATCCATTGAATTTCATTTTTAAAAATGTATCAAAATGAGGCTACGTAGGTTTAAACACAATTTAACATGTGTAATTTTCACGCCGAACCAATTTAACTACGCACAACTTTAGTTAAAAAGTGTCATTTTACATTATAATATATCTCTTATATCTGTTTTTAACTTCTCCCTATATGTACATATTTAGTAAATTTTTCTGACGAAACAGTGTCATGTGACTCCTCTTTGGCTTTCCTAAATTCGCTTTTTGCATGTGCATGAATATTAGCATATGGAAGGGGTGAAATTTTCACAAACAAAACAAAGAACTTTTAAAATGAAAAGTAAGCTTCAGGTAGAAATCTTGCATTCTACAAATTTAATCAAAGTTCACACTTGATAAATTTTTCTCAAAATTCTCTTCTTTTTGATAGAATTCTTTACATTTATTTTCTTGTAGGATACTTTTGAATGACTAAGTATAATTTTGGTGAAGTATTTTAATAAGTTGTTTAATTATTAAAGTATTTTTGTGATAGACAATTTGAAAGTCACTTCCACCTTAATCCGAATATCCACATTCCTAATTATTCAACAACTACATACATACAATATTTGAAACTGATAGCTTACTGTAATAATCACAGACCAAGAACATTTAAACATCTCATTTGCTTTGAGCTTAACACATCAACAAGAAAAGTATCAAATACCTAAGAGAAAACGATTATAGATCAAAGAGAGCAAGAATCCTCCAGCACTAGTGCCCAACCTTTTAGAAGTCACTGGGATAACAAATTTTTTGAGATAGAAATATGGCACCGAGTAATACTACATTTTTGTTACTTGGTGCCTCAACCATCCGCCATGAGAGACGCACCAGCTGCAGCTGCGGTGGGAACAACCCCTATTGAGACACCAGGTTTTGACAAATGAAGGAGCCTAAAAACAATAAAAATCATTTTTATGTTCACCATATGATCATAGAAAAAAGGGATAAGCGTCTGAAAAATACCCCAACTTTGGTTGGATTTGCTGTTGCGATACTAAACTTTCACGAGGACCTATTACCTCCCTAGACTATTTAATACCGTATTTTTTACCCCCTGAACTATTTAATAGTGTATTTTAAAGGTATATATGTGCCCACGTGGACACATTACTATTTATAATTTTGCATTATTTTTTATGTCCACGTGGACAAATATATATGTTTAAAATACGGTATTAAATAGTCTAGGGAGGTAATAGGTCCTCATGAAAGTTTAGTATCGCAACAGCAAATTCGACCAAAGTTGAGATATTTTTCAGACCCTTATCCCTAGAAAAAAGTGATAAATATATAATACCAGGTACAGCTAGCCAATTATTATGGACAACAAACCAATATAAAGATGTTTACGGTGCAAGATATTCACAGAAGGACGATACAGATGCAACAACTTCAGTGTAATTTTTAGATGAAGCTGGTGTGGTCACTTCAACTAGCTGTATTCCCGGAGTCACGTGCACTGCATCATCGATAGCATGAAGTTTCAACATCTTATTGATGGATGAAACTGTTAAAGTTATCAGGGCATCTCTTTGGAAATGAAATGCAAAACCGACTCTCAGATGCTCATGGTCTAGCTTGTAGCCAAGTTTATCAAACACGATTAGTGCATTCTTGGTTATTTTGCTTACTTGCATTGGTCTCACCAAGAATGAGATTTGTTCAGCACCAGCACCTCTCATCGGACCACCAACATGCCCAACAGTGCTATAGTTAATCACATAAAATAAGTTAGGCTTCACGTGTCCTCAGAGATAGGCTTACAATGAACAAGATCTCTTACCATGTGGGTTCCGGCTACTCAAGATCACATACGAGCCGTATTTCTGATGCTACTAAGCCTGAGAATGGTAAGAAACAGACCACATGGTTAAAATAACTCACAGACAAAACAAGTAGGAAAGGGGAAAAAGAAAAAAAATGGGAGAAGGCATAGATGATTTTTAGACATTGTTTTACCAATTACATTTGAATGATCATAATTTGCTTTTTTCTTCTTGTCTAACCAAGAGGAGAAATTAGTCTTAAACAAATATGTGAATTGTGATCATGTGTAGACAACGGCGAAGGTCAATATCTATTTGTGGGATCTAAGGTTAATAAAATCAACCATCTACCATAATATTTAAGGCACAATAATACCTTGACTAGTTATATAGTAAAAAGAGATAAACATAGCCAAGAAGGTTATAGTAGTTCGATGTAATCGAGATAGATGCCTGATACTTTGTAGGTGATTAGATGAAGGTGCTCTGAATTTAAGGTTTATGATATATTACTATAAGCGAGAGGAATACTTCTAGTTAAGGTTATAAATGTTGAGTTTAATACAGAGAGGCGCTTATAATTTTGAGATAAATATTAAATTGGCGGACAATGAACACCATAGACTAATCATAAGTGAAGTCTAGATTCGACCCGTCCTGATTTGAAAAATAAAGTCTAGATTCAACACATTTAATGAACTGATCGATACTCTTTCACGATTATTCATGTCATAAAAATTCTTATTATATTTTATTTTAGCCATAAACATCCGTCCTGTAGAAACTCAATGCTAGTGGGATCAACATCTGCCACACTACCTTCAACAAAAAAACTAGCATTGTTTTATACTCCGGTGTTACACTCGTCAAACATTTCAAAGAATCACAAGTGTATCATCAACAAAACCTAATTCCATTGAATAATTGACATTTAGCACCGCAATACAACTAGAATAAGATGGACCATAGAGAGAGAAAAAATGACAGTTATGTCAAAACTCTAAGGTGAGAAAACCTCCCTACGAATGCATTGATGATTGCAAACATTTGCCTCAATCACATCGGTACATACATGACCATTGAGTTAGTTCTTAGTACCTAATAGTTCAACGAGTAATCTCACTTACCTAGGTTTGGAACATTTTTAAGGCACAATTCATGGACCCTTAAGCCTTGTTTACGCACACCACAAAGCCCTTGAAGCAGAATTTCTAGGGCTTCAACATGCTGCAAGTATGATTAGCACTGTCAGTATCTTTTCAATAATCAATTGCCAAAAATTGTTTCAGTAAATGCCATAATATAGCAAGGCCAGTTTTTACAAGTAGCATATCTTACTAATTATTAAAGAAGAAAAACAGAGTGCTAGGGGTAGGTTTTTTCATTGCTCTGTGAACTTACTTGAGTCTCAATAATTCCTTGAACAACACACTCCATTTCTCACTTCAATTTATCTAACACGCGTGCAAATAACTCTTTAGAACATACCTGTGAATCAAAAAAAAATTAAGTTGAACTAAAGAGTAGAAAAGAAAAATCTAATACCTAACCAAAATCATAACAGAGTTGACACTCTTCATATGAGAATTGCATTGCTTGAAGATACATAG